GCGAGTTAAGTGATCAGATGTAAGGGGTTATGTGGTCTCAGAAATTGTTTGACAGCTAGAGTCCTGTTGCCAGATATAGAGTCTTTCACCAGGCATCCACTTGACCGAGGGAAGCACTACCTCCTCAAACCACTTGATGTAGGCCTCTGTATTGAGTATGAGGCTGTGTGGGATGATCACTCCAAACGCCTTCGTAATCACTATTAGAATCATCTAAGTTTTTTCTGAATCTTCTGCACTGCCTTTAGATTGATACTGCATTGGGGCCTTCGATACGCATTTCAAATAGTAGAACAGGCCCTTTCTAAATTTCTAGCAGAGGGAATTTCGTCACGGTGCTCGATTTCTCACAGTGTTCACAATTGATATATACTGTTCTATACTGTTCTATATTAAAAAAAACAAAACAAACAAACAATGCGCATTCGCGAAATTAAAAATATAAAATGGCGACAGTTTACCCATCGCAACCTGTATATTAAACCTACTTGTGAAACATTAATAATTCCTCGGCGATGATTTTTATGAAAACAATGTTTTAAGAGAAATGTATTAATTATATTATATCAGGCAAAACAAGCTTAATTGAAAAGGAAGTGTTTTAATTTACATATCATTTTATGAATTGAAAGAGCATAAAACAATTTAATATTATTTTTAAAATTAGAATATTCTTGTCCAGAAATTTAGTATTTACGCTAACTTTCTATCTATAGCACACTCACCCGACGATTTCGATATATGAGAATCAAACATTTAAGTTTAAAAAAACAAGTTCAACCGGTACAATACCTACTGATATGATTTTATTATTGTGAAGAGTTCTGTAAAACCAGCTACACGTTTCAGACTACATTGTAATAGAGAATTAGTGAAGCGTGTACTACATAGCCCACCAAATATTCCCCTCCCCCACAATTCCTACATTTCCTTGTTCAAACGACCCCACTCTGCCCTGCTATTTTACATAGAGTCTTTTACGCTTTCGAAGTATATAGAGTGTTCAAGTACGAAAAGTTTGAAATAACGCAACTAAAGAATGGATTTTATCTAAACGTTTACCATGGAAATAGCAATGATGGCGACAGGTTTACGATGTCGTGCTTGTGAGAAATAAGATGCAGTGTGAAGAATAAGTCTTCCGAAATTTGACCGCCTAAACGATTCAAAGTGAGGATTGAACAGCTCAAGACCAGGTACGACAAAAATACTCAATTTTTGCTCTAATCTAATAAACTATAACAGAACGACTCATTTACTCCCTTAAGCGATGGAATGAACTGATAATATTATGGAGAGTATATATGAATTATAAATGCGGTCTAGACTGAACTAAAGTAATGTCCCCCCCCCCCAAAAAAAATGTAAACCTAACTTTTCAATCGTTTTTAGTAATAGTTGATATACGATCACTGAAGTTGAGCAACGTCAAGCCTGGTCAGTACCTGGTTGGGTGACCGCTTGGGAATACGAAGTGCTTGGATGAGCGAGTAGTGTAATGGGTAATGGCTTGGAATTGTTTGTTAATTGGAAAAAAAAAAAAACCTTTATCACTAAATCATTATTATCTCAAAAAAAAATTCTTACAATATAAAACTATTTTCTGGCTTTAAATAATCTGAAAAAGGTTGATAAACCATAGAAAACGAATCAATCAATCAATGTATTCTCGGAATCAAAAGCGACAATAAGACGTTTTTGTATCATGTCACATATATATTTTAAACCAGTTTGAACACATATACATTAGCGAAAATAGACGAATGAAAATAAAGAGAAGACATTGGGAAGGATGAAAAAACACACAAAAAAGAAGGAAATAAAGGACCAACATGCAGGGATAATTCAAACAAACGTGATGCATACTGCATCAAAGGTAATGGATATTGAATGAAGGGGTCCGATATGCAGATATTGGTAAGCAAGTGATGTTCGCCATGTTTGATAATATTATGTACTTGAATAGTATATATTCATAAAATTATTACTTATTCTCCTTATATAAATGTAAATTGTATTTTGTGGACGCCTTTTTGTATCACTTAATTATTAAGAAAAAAATTCTTACAATCTAAAAATATTTTCTGTTTTTAAATAACACGCAGAGTTGATAAGCGGTAGAAAACGCATCAGTCAATTGTATTGATGAAAACTGCTATCTAAACTCAAAAGTTTGTGTATTTAGTGAGAGAGAGAGAGAGAGAGAGAGACAGACAGACAGACAGACAGAGACAGAGAGAGGGAGAAAGAGAGAGAGAGAGAGATCATCCCCAAAATGTCATTGTAATCATTGACCCCTTGAATGTCCCCAAGTGCAATTTAGACCAACTTAAATTCAAGAAAAAATATAAAGGAAAAATGCATTGTATTGCTGAATCGATTATAAAAATGAAAATAAAAAAGTGCTGGGGGTCTTAAGAGATGTGGTTCTTTTTATACTTTATCAACAGACATTCAATCAAATAATCAGGAAAACGGTATTCTATGAAAATTGTGCAATCCTCTGATGTTATCTTAACAATGATCGCACTGCTTTAAAAGAACAATTGAGGTAATGAAGCTGATCATTTCTATCTCATTAAGTTATGAGGAAAAACTTTCACACAGATTTCAACACAAAACGTCGCTCAAGAGAAAATTCTTCGCAATATTAATGATGACCTTGCCTGAAATTTAGACATCGACAAAACCACTCATTAATCTGACTTCTTTCAAAGGAAAAATTACGTACATTGTCAGTCAATAGTGATCATATATCCACCTAGGTAATAATCACAATATAAAACGGCAGAGACAGACGAAGATCATTTTAGTCGTAAAGTACAACCGAAGATGATCGCATTAGATTCAGCTGTCTCGGCTTTCATTCAGAAAATGAACATTTCCGCTTCAGCCTGATTTATAGAAGACTCTCAAGAGGAATTAATCGAATATAATAATGAAAATGGTGATGGTATTAATCATACGTGATGACATAGTGGAAGCACATTCGACAACTGGACATTACTTACTTGGCGTACATCTTGATTTAACATTAAATTCTTGACACAAAACACAGGATTCAAATTAGAAATGTTATTTCAGTCCCCTCTTACTATGTGTCCATTCAGAAGATGGGCGATCATGGATCTCCATGATTTCCTGTCCGTTGTAGCACTTAGCTTACCAACTCCTACAAAGTGCTTGATATTTTGCTATCTCTCCTAGCCCCTGTTCTGTCAACCATTTACACAAGCTCATTAAGTAGGTTACTCGCTGCTTTCCTCTGTTCCTCTTGCCTTCGGTATGCCTTATTGCCGTCAATATGTTTATTTTTGCTTTCTTCAACCCCTCATTATCTACCCTAGATTGATTGTTTTGTTTTTACGACTTGTCAAATTTGTATAGGTGATTTAAAGCCAGAAACTATTTTTAGAATATTGGTTACATTACACAAATACCTTTGAGAAAGGTATGAATGTATCTCTTGTACAATTATCGATTAAAAAGTCAATACTTTCAATTAATTAAAGAAGACAACCGATCCTCAAAAAAATTAAAATAAACAAAATATCTATATAAATAAGAGCAACTTAAGTCAATAATAAATTAACAAGCTATGAATGCAAACAGAAACCCAAGTAAATTTAATAACAGATAATTAAATAACCAGTAAATAAATATTAACGAGTAAAAGTTATAAAATAGCTGAAAAATAAAGCGCATTTAGATCAACAATAATTTCTACTCAATAACCTTTAGAATAATTTGAAATATAACTGTTACCACTTACCCGATAACTATCATTACAATAAAACTTAATCTTTTATTTTTATGTGCCATGTCCTTTCAGGATATAGGTGATCATGGCTCTCCACCTCCCTCCATCCCTTGCAACAAGTTCCTCAACAAGTTCCTTCCTTCTGCACCCCCACACCACGTACTGTCGTCCACTTGATTAAGACTGCCAGGTATGTCACTCTGTTCGACCCGTGAGTATCAGATTCTCCAGGCCCTCCTTCCTCATTATGTGTCCTAGAATCTTCAGCTGCCTCTTCCTGATATTAAGTATAAACCTCCTCTTTGTTTGCAACCCCTTTTTCATCTTAGAAAAAATCGTCCAACATTCGCTGCCGTTAAACCTTACTAGCCATATAATAAACATTACTAACCATATAACAAACCTTGCTAGCGAGATAATTCATACAGTAAATATTCTATCTATGCATAAAATCTCACAATATTTTGTATTATTACAAATGGTCAAAACTTTACTGAATTTGGTCAGTTGTTAATAATCATGTTGATAATCCAACAAAATGAATTTGTTAACATGATACTAATTACATTTCTATATGCACCACTGAAAATGGTTAGTAACATTAAATTTACCTGTTTCAGTCTGTTATGTTTTTATCATCAATTATGTATTCGTGTTTGATTTTCTTTTTCGTCTCTTTTCATTTTTATTTAATCAATGATTTTGATAAGTTCTTTTGTTAAATAGCAATATAGATTAGTTTCTCCTTTATTTTTAGAAAAAAAGTGAAGTAATATACAAAGAATCATAGTCATTATTATTTTTGTTGTTTTTATTGTTGCTTAGTTGACTAGTCTAATTAGCTATGATTAGCAGCCAGCGTAGGAGAAGAAAAAATCAGAATTGAAAAGCGTATATAAGAAATATGAGTAAGAATATACTATGCATCGAACGAAACAAAACCGCGGAGTTCACAATGACACTATGATCCAGGCTTCAATCGATATGACAGGTCAATATACTGCATTTACCTGATTGACTCAATCTTTTTCATGTTATTTAAAGTCAGAAAATATTTGGCGATAATGATAATTTTCAGGTACAAGCCGTTCTACTCAATGCATAGGTGTGAGAAAAGGTTTATTCATACCTTTCCAATGGTTTTTCGCGCATAAGTTAATAAAAACGAAGCCGACTGCAACTCGGCTATACGATTTCCAATTCCGAGTCGTTATCACTCAAGCCAGCCGAATATTCAAACTTACAGTACTTGTTATTCCCAAACGGTCACCCATCCAGGCACTGACTGGGCTCGACGTTGCTTAACTTAAGCGATCGTAAGAGAAGCGGTGATTCAACGTGATATGACCGTAAGCCTGTTTGCTTAAGACATGTCAACAGACATTTTACTGATTCTCAGCAGAATTGTCCGTTTTTTTATCATTTTCCTTGAAAGCTCCTCATTACTGAAATGCTTAGTGCATGGAATTCTCAACATCCTTCTGTAGATCAACATTTCACTTGCTTCAAGTGGCTTCTTCATATATGAGGTGATGTCTAGCATTCACACTCATATATCGAAATACGTTTTTGGAGATAATAATAATTTTCGGATACAAGCTGTCCTGTTTATCCCATAGCTGTGAGAAGAGGTGGGTTAATGCCTTTCCTATGGATTTTGGACCATAAGTAAATATAACGAACCCTATTGCAACTGTGAGCCGACTTTACGATTTCCAAATCCGAGCCGATATCCTTCGTACAAGCCGCATATCCAAGCTTAATTCACGTGGTATTCCCAAGCAGTCTCCCATCTAGGTATTGTCCTGTGTCGACGTTGCTTAACTTCGAGAACTGGTGTTTCAATGTTATATACCGGTAAGATCATTTTTCCTAGAAATGTCGACATTCTTTTACTGATTCTCGGTAGAATTATCCGCTTTGTTTCCATTTTCCTTGAAAGTTCCTCGTTACTTACATGTTCAGTGTATGAAATTCTCAACATCCTCCTGCAGGTCAGCATTTCCCTTGGGAGGAGGTTTCCCAGCATTTGCTGCAATATAGGAGGAACAAGATTACAACGATGTAAACTTGGGAATCCAAAAATGCAAAATTGTGGGTCTGGATCTGGCCCCAGGATATTTTTAATTTGCTCACGGAGTCGGCCTGATTCCAAATTTTTATGATATGCTGGGCTACGACCTTTAGGATTAAAGTTGAAAAAGTGTGACACAGTGACACACTGACATTAGCATTTATTATATAGATAATAATTAGATTTATTATATAGATATATATGATAGGAGGCAATCCTCATAATTTGTGTTTATTTCTCTCTTCGTTTTTCTTCCTTCATTTGTTTGTTTCTTTTTGTCTTTCTTCTTTGTTATCGTACATTTTCTCCTCTTCTTCCTCAATCTTTCTTGTACATAAATCCTATCTATGGGAAACAGATCGCGATACGCCAATCTTAAATGTGGGTTGGACCAGCCTATCTAGAAAATCGGCATCCTTAAAACGGCATTTATTCTGAACTCGAACTTTTGACAATACATACGACGTTTTCAATCACGAGACAAGCCTTATTACGTGTTTCTTTCTTTTTCTCTTTCTATCAATTTTATTTTCTAAATCTAAATCACTTTTGCAGTCTTTTAAAACTTTGAAATAGTCGAAAAAAGAAATTAAACAAGAAATGAACCACTTAAGAAAATATCACATTGAAAAGAAAATTAACACAAAAATAGGCTTTTAAAAAGGTTGGGAGAAAAAAAAATTATTTCCACTTGCAAATTTATGAAGAAAAAGTTTCAGGGAACAAAACAGTATAATTTAGCCAAAGATTTGGAAAAATATGTCGTTCTGAAACATCCTGCAAATAGTAACGTTATTATTTCATTACCGCCTCTTTTATAACTATTAGACAATGAACGAATGAACATTATTGGAAAGGATTGAGTAAAAGGAAAATGTGTAGAATAAAAAATTCCGGAGTGCGAAGAAAGGAATAAAATGGGGAAAACACAGGATTGGTCCGAGGAACTGTCGGTTGAAATAGCTAATGACATAAAAAGAAAAAATGGTGGAACGAAGTAAAGAAAAAAACTGTCAGAATGGGAATGGCGAAGTCGATCGGTCGGTTGGACTAATGAGAAGGAAGAATTATGAAAGTGTAAATTAAAATTAGAATTAAAAAAAAAAAAATTAAAAAAAATGAAATTAGTGGATGCTTGTTGAAAATAGAATAAATGAATGGGTGAATAAATGAAAAACAGTTGCATATTTTTTCTAAAATGACTCCAAGAATAAAACAGGCCATCTTGTTTAAGGTACCTTGCGTTTTGTTCTGTGTTTGGTAATATGGCCTTTGTATGTTGTCTATTGACGTATTTTGTTTATCTGAATGAGAAAGATTTTAGGAGATAAAGGCGAAGAGAAGAACGTTTCCTACAGCGTTGTTTAGACGTCTATAAATACACCTATATAGCATACCTATATATTTCTACAGAATTAATGGATTTTAGTTTTTAACTTGAAATAATTTTATTACTTCAAACATTATTTTTAGTGGATACTCTTATTTGAGTAGACGCCCCATTTTACTTTTCTAAAATCTACTTAATCCGTCTACAGGCATTTTCTTTAAGTTTTCTTGAGTCTGCAGGCCGGTAGACGTAATATTGTTTTTAAAAAATAAAATGGAGTTATTACACAAATGTAGATCTCCTCTAAAAACAATATTTGAAATAATGGAAGCGCCTCTATATACAGGTTGTCTCATAATGATGGGACAAATTTTAAATGCAAATGTCTATAAAAAATGATCTAGATTGCCAAATACATTTTATTAAGCAAATGATATATATATATATATATATATATATATATATATATATATATATATATATATATATTTTTTTTTTTTTTTTTTCTTCAAGGATCAAAACTCGCACTATGGATGAACAGGATTTTAATGCATATATTATGTTTTCTAGCGATGGATGTCGCCAATAATCGCATTGATACTTCTGATTAATTCTATGTGATTATTCTTTTTATATATATATATATATATATATATATATATATATATATATATATATATATATATATATATTATACATAAAAAATGGTCACTACCAGGAAGGGAACCTGTGCAAGCTTGCTCTTTCATTTCAAGCATAGTTGGCAACCATGTAAGGTATGACAGCAATATTTAATGCGCGGCGTATGATAGATTTAGAAAAGCGCAAGATGGATTCTGGTGAGAAGAAAATTGTCTGGCACGACGCAGTGTACCGAATTTCCTAGGAACAGACATAGCAATTGATTCAATATAATCAATCCATATCAGTAGAAACCGTAAGGTCATGTAGGTGCAATTGATTGCTTTCCTGGATATTGGTATCAACCATGCCGATGGATGACAAAAATGGTTCTCTATGATTAAGATAGCAGTTTCTTTTTGGAGGCGTTGAAGTTTACAAGCAAAACTCCACACTTTGTTCGCATTAGGCTATATGTATCAGAAGAATTAAAGAACGAAGCCCGAACAAAGAAGATAACAAAAAGATAGAAAGAATATGCTTTGTCGCGGGTTTGAGATCGTTATGTATTTCATTTTTCAGTGCCATGTCGTTTTTTTGAAACATGAAATTCCACAGTGTTGTCATATATGACGGTACAAGTAAGATTAGCTATTATTTCAGTGCTTTGCGTTGGATAGGGAAAGGCAAGTGGAAAGAAAGAAAGGTGTAAATAAATAAATAAAGAAATCAGGAAAGGAAGAAAACCAAAGAAAAAGAAAGAAATGGAAAAAAGAAGAAAGACTGAAGAAAAACAAAGATGGCTGAAGGAAAAATGGGAATAAATAAATAAATAAAAAAGAAAGAAAGAAAGTAAGAGAGTATTTTAATATTAGTGTTGAGAAAATCAGCATTTTGAATGCTGATGTTCAAGAAATTCGATCTTCGAAAACAGGTGCATTACTTTCTCCATAAACATATTCCCATTCACCCCTAGTTTGGATGTCTGTCGTATAAAGCTGCGTTTGGTGAATGAATAATTCACAAAAAAAAAGGAGAGACAATTCTCTTTCTATTATACAGTCTTATTCTAATACAAGAATATACGATTACTTTTAAAACGTAGGAATTTAAAGGAATGTGATAAAATATTATTGAGATTGTGGCCTGTAACATAGAGCAAGTTTGGAAGGGAATGGTCATTGTAATCTAATGTGCAGTTGAAGACAAAGATTATGGCAAAGAGCTTTGCCTTATCGGACGAGAATTAGATGACCTCAGGGCCATTTATGATAGGCAATGACGCTTTGGCACTATTGAAGGTTTAGTTGCAGACCTTCTAGAACTGCTGGGATCCAAGTTGTTTGCATTCGATCTGGATCTGGATTGATTGTGCAGAGGTACATTTTGCATTTTCGGAACTATCTTGCCATGATTTCTAGCAGTTCTGAATGCAGCAAGTGTTTTACTACACGGTTCTGTTTGATAGATAATACTGTAGAGGTTATGGTAAGCTCTGGCTACGGGAATATTCAATTCGTGAAGCAGATCGGATTATTAGTTCTTTTGTTTGGAGCGGGGTGGGGGGTGGGTATTTCTGATCTATAAAATTCTACTTTCCAGAAATGTTTTCACTCCGAGATGAAGGCGGCATTTTTGGAGGCAGTATGTTTGACGATGACTGAGAGAGGAATTTCCGCCATGTAAGACTTACGGTCATATCACGTTGAAACCTAGTCTCATGTACGATCACCAAAGCAACGTAGGAATTTAAAGGAATGTGATAAAATATTATTGAGATTGTGGCCTTTAACATAGAGCAAGTAAGCAAGAAAGATCCTGATCAGTGCCTACATGAGTGACCTATTGGGAATACCAGGCGCTGTAAGCTTGGATGTGCGAGTGGTGTAAGGGTTATAGGCTCGGAACTGGAAATCGGAAAGCCGAGTTCCAATTAGAGTTGAGTTCGTAATATTGAATTATATACAAATACCCTTGACAAAGGTATGGATTCACCTTTTCTCACCCAGCCATGGGTTTTTTATTAAAATTTTTATCACTAAAACCTCATTATCTCAAAAGAATTCTTACAATCTAAATCTTCTGGCTTTAAATAGACTGTAAAAGGTTGATACGCCGGAGAAAACGAATCGATCAATCAATGCAACCGTCATGTAAGATCTGAAGCTTTCCTTGTCGGCTTTCGAGTACCGAAAAACCGTTCTATGGAATAACACATTCACAGATGTCTTTGAGTTGGCATCGGTTTTGACACTGTGTTGTGAAGGGACTAAAGTGCCCAGTGGAGGTAACACTTTAGAAAACATTTTTTCAGAGCAAGCTGTAAGG